GGACAAGGGGGGTTTGCGAGGAGAGGGACAAAGAGGGGTTTGCGAGGAGAGGGACTAGGGGAGTTTGCGAGGTTTGGGACAAGGGGGGTTTGCGAAGGAAAAGCGCCATCAGCTCTGTTTAGCGCTGTGAACGCCCTCGATATTTTTCTGTGTTAGGTATAATTTCGGAGTAAATTTCGTTACTAAAACAAGTCTGTGTTCGGAGGAAAATGGGTGCTGGAATCTAGGTCACCGTGGCTAAATAAGAATGTAAGCCACATTTTCAGGAGAACTTAATTTCCTACAGCAATAAAGGGTACATTCTTTTAGAATCTTAATTATTTGCAATATAGTTTGCACTTTAATTTTCAGAGTAGAACTACCGTAAAAATCTGACATAATCCCTTATAACCCCATAATTAATATCTATTGTTGTGCTGAAAAAATGTCAACCAACCGGATGTTACTTGAAAAAAGGCGTACTAACCTTTCTTGTAAGAACTTTTTGGCAGTCATCCTAAAGTGAAATGACTATCGTGTTTTACAGTAATGATCTTTTGTAGTTCACTGATATTTCATATTTCGTTATCTACTGTTTTCAATCCATTCTCTAGTCATTCATCATTATCAGTCAATTTATGATAATCATTGTCAAGTAACAGTATTCACTAGGTAATCAGTTATCTTATCATTACATGTATTAGGCAATATATATAACCAGTGAGGTAATTTTTCAGTTGTAACGTATTATCTTTATCTTTTTATCTAAACGCATTGTGATCATATTGTTTTTTTATTATTAGCTTTATTATAAATGATTTTTTTTTCACTATCATCATTATCAATCATAATTAATACTATTATTATTTTTGCTTATAATATTGATTATAATAATATCGTTATTATTAGTATAATAATAATTATTATCAATTTCGCTGTTATCAGCATTATCATTATTACTATTATTACCATTATTGTCATTCCTATAACTATCATTATCATTATCACGATTATTACTATAATGATTATTGTTCTCATTTATTTTTGCCTTTATTACTTTTATCATTATTATTATCATTGTTATTATTATGACTATCATTATTACTGTTTTATTATCATTATTACTGTTTATTATCAGCACTATTATTACTATTATTACTGTTTTATTGTTATTTATATAATTATTGTCATATTACTATTACCATTATTGTAGTTATTATTACTATTATCAGTATCATAGTTAATATTACTGGCATCATTAGTATTATCATTATCATTGTCAACCTAATAATCATTACCCCGTTCGAGTGTAAACAAACCCCTGCTCCTCCTTACTTTTCAGATTTGCTCGTGGATCTTTGCTGATAACATCAACCAGTTGTTGTAAAGAGTAACATTAAAAACCCAGTGGTCGTTCACAAATGATTTGAAGATTTCTTGGAATTGGTCATCGTCTGTAGTTTGAAATATACAGCTCAATCAACCAGCCTCCTCCGATCAGAAGCGACATTTTGGCGCATGCACACTGCCAATAGATACCAGCTACCTAACATGGACACCGTGGCGCACTGGCCTCGGGAGCAGTCACGCCACACCATGGCGCTTCCGCCAAGCGCCCAGTTACCGAGACCGCAGCCCTCATCCCCTGCTTCCAAGTCTTCTAAGGGGAGAGTCCTGCAATACAACATTTCATCCCCTGCAAGAGCCCGATGAACCGTCTGAGGAGAGTTTGATGCTGTGCACACATCTGTCTTCTGCATTCACTCCCAGGGATGAATACAGCAAGCTTCTGTTCGTCAGCCGACACTAAGCTTCGTTGCCTGAGGTGAACAGAGCCTTCATACTCGATCGTAATGAGGATGAGGTGAAGTAGTCATCGATAACATCTCGCTTCGTTTATATTCCTACCCATCACACAGACATTGTCAATACTCCATTCAAGATACCAGGAAGGCCCAATAAGTTTCCCACATACCTCCTCACTAGTCACCCTGTATGCGCTGATCTAACCTAGCCCAAGGAGCTCCGAGGCATCCACTCAGCTTGTCATTTTCATCAGGCCAGAGCTATCAATCACTTGGTGATAACTAGCTTTCCTCAGCCACCACCTCTGTGTCAATTTCAGCTTTCTTGTTTACTATTCTGTGAGTCGCAGAATGAAGGATGAGCAGCTGTTGTGCTTTCGATACTAGAATATTGAACATACTTCACAATACTGTTCTGCAGCCAAACAGTGTGCCTGGTGTATGGGTGCTCACAACTCCTCAACGCACCCCTCCACCATCTGCTACTGCTCCTATATCTGCTTTGCTTTAGCAATTGACACCCCCACGAGACACCTTGCTATGGAAATCTCATGTTGCCAGGTACGAGATAGCTTTTGGCATGGATTTGTTAAGACGTCTGTAAACTCCCAGTGCACCTTCAAGTGGACATATCACCTCACCATAGCCAACCTACAGTCCCCTCCACTCCGTCTTGGAATCTGACTGCACAACATGATGCCTTTGCTGTGATCAAAACTCGTGTTGCATTACTTACAGATTGCATTTCAATGCAATCAAAGCTTCCCTCGATGGTTGGGTCAGCAAACAGACTACATTTGAGATAACACTGAACTCAATTGTTGAGTCACAACACGTGATTAGCATTGTTTCTACACTCACTGAAAAGCTGGATTTCATTGCTACATATTTTGAGAGCATAACTACAATCTCCCCAGGGAGCCTTCCATTTAAGATGTGTTGACTTGTGATGTCTGCAGTGCCCCTTTTGCTCATGCTTCTGCAGATGCCTGAGCAACTACTGCCCATGTTAACACTGCCACTCCCGCCACTACTTCATTGGTCGGTCATTGTTGCCGTAAGGGAAAAATCAGTAAAAGAGATGAAGCTACATGCCATCTC